CGTCCCAAAAAAACTGTCCTTCAGCCGGACGGCAAAAACTGTTTCCAACTCGTTCGCCCCAATTCAAACAACTGAAGTACAAGTTGTCAAGCCCACGAAGGATAGACTGGCGAAGCCTGTTTGCGGAACGAGCATGCAGGGCACGAATGACAAGGTGCGTTCCCGTCAATGAGACCTCGACGTCAAACCAACGAGAATTGGAAACCAATGCATGCTGGGCAGACGGTTGTCCACACTCGTCTTCTGTTTCACCTCTCACGCAATTCCAGACGGGTAGACGCTACATGTGGACATATACATATATACATATTGTAATGTGCCACAATAAATAGTATGCATAACATATGTTTGTTTGTTTTTTTCGAAAATGTGTAAACTGTGGAATATGTGTATGTGTATATATATATATATGCTCACCCCCCCCTGCATGACCTACCTTTTTAGCTAAAAAAACAGGATCTCATCTATCATTTGCCCCTCCCTTCATCGCTATTGGTGGGGCACAGCACTTGGTTTTCATTGCACACGCGAGCAAAACACAAAACTAATTATCTTCAATGCTTATTGATTGAAGCAATGGAAAACCTGTTCCATTATGTTATTCACCGCCACTCATAACATAATGATGTTCCATTTAATATTAATGACAAGTTAATTTTTAAATATAATTTTCTATATTTCTTTAATATCAACTATGACAGATGTCCCAATAATAAAACCAATAAACATAACTGAATATGAATTCAAACAATGTTTATAGAAATTCATTTGCAAGAATATTTATATTTTCCCCCAGCGTTCATAATGACCCAACTTTTACAGAAGTTAAAAAATACATCAGGGATGAATTGCACGTGGAAGATGAAAAAGAACAAATTTATTTTGATAATTATAATCCAAGTGATTTAGAAAATGTAATTGAAAGACAGAAGAAAATAATTAATTATATGAAGTCTAAAAAGATAAGACACTACATTCAATATTAATCGTTATAGATGACCACGCATTCAATATTAATCGTTGTAGATGACCACGCAGACGATCCTAAATTTGTTAGATATAGTAAATTATTACACGGACTTTTTACAAGAGGCAGGCACGATGCAGCAAGTGTAATTTGTTCAACACAAAAATATAATGTTTTAGTGCCTATCATTCGTTTAAATGCCAGTTCATTAGGTTGAAAAATGCAAGTGAGTTAATGAGTTTTATTGAAGAAAATAGCGCCATTGTTGATAAACAGCAATTATTAGATATGTATCATCAAGCCGTTAATGACGCACCTTATAGTTTCTTCTACGTGAATATGAATGCTAAAGACATTAACAAAATGTTTCATATCAGATTTGAACAGGCATTTCAAATTACGAATGATGAATAAAGATATTCTAATTTAATATAATATAGTAATATGCCAATGAAACTATGTAGATGTGGCGGATTTTATCGTAGAGGTAATTGTATTTTTCATACTAATTCTTGGATACATAAACTTTATATAGTATTGAAAAGAAGGGCACCAGACGAGGAATTATTAAGATTTCAAAATAATTTTGTTGATGAAGATTTAATAGATGATATAAGTAGTACTACTTCAACAACAATACCAGAGGATAAAATGACAGATTATGATAGCAATTAATAATATTATTATATGTTAATATTATTAATTTAAATTAACGAAGCATTGCAAAATTGTAAGGCAGGAAGTTTATATATTAATTTGTCAGATTTTCTTTCTCTAGTTTCTCAATTCGTGTCACACATTCTTGAAGAGATTTAATAATTAAAGTGTCTGCTCGTGTTTTTTCATCTATACTTAAATTCTTAATGTCTTCCAAACTATTATTTTCATTATTTTTACTTTTACCAATACCCATTATATATGATATTATTAAGATTTTAATTTTTCAAAATTATCTTTTTGTGGTTCTTCTTCTTCGTCTTCAGTTGGTGCTGGTATTTCTGTTGTTTTAGATGTCTGGCCCACGACAAAATCTTGGATTCTTGGTTTTCTCGAGGTTTTCTTGGTTTTCCTTGTTTTACTTGGGAATTCTTGGTTTTTTGCTGGAGAAAAAAAACCTAGTAAATCTTGGTTTTTTGCTGGAAATCCAAGAATTCCCAAGTAAAATCAAGAAAGCCAAGAAAACCTCGAGAAAACCAAGAATCCAAGAATCCAAGATTTTCATGTAGATGTCTGGCCCACGACAAAATCTTGGATTCTTGGTTTTCTCGAGGTTTTCTTGGTTTTCCTTGTTTTACTTGGGAATTCTTGGTTTTTTGCTGGAAAACCAAAAAAACCCTAGTAAATCTTGGTTTTTTGCTGGAAATCCAAAAAAACCCTAGTAATTCTTGGTTTTTTGCTGGAAATCCAAACAAACCCTAGTAAATCTTGGTTTTTTGCTGGAAATCCAAAAAAAACCTAGTAATTCTTGGTTTTTTGCTGGAAACCCAAGAATTCCCAAGTAAAACCAGGAAAACCAAGAAAACCTCGAGAAAACCAAGAATCCAAGATTTTGTAGTGGACCAAACATCTACCTGAAAATCTTGGATTCTTGGATTCTTGGTTTTCTCGAGGTTTTCTTGGGTTTTTTGCTGGAAATCCAAAAGAACCCTAGTAATTCTTGGTTTTTTGCTGGAAATCCAAGAATTCCTAAGTAAAACCAAGAAAACCAAGAAAACCTCGAGAAAACCAAGAATCCAAGATTTTGTAGTGGACCAAACATCTACCTGAAAATCTTGGATTCTTGGATTCTTGGTTTTCTCGAGGTTTTCTTGGTTTTATGTGAAAAATGCTAAAAACCCAAGGAATTCTGAAGGTTTTACTGCAAAACCATCAAAAACCCAGGGAATTCTTAGTTTTTAACTTAGGGATCTATCTGAAAAACATATCAGTTTTTACACTTGTTTTTTTTGAATGCTTTCCTGTTTTTCTAAAAAAACCATGGTTTTTGCACATGTTTTTGCTAAAACCATCAAAACACACTGTTTTTTCTTAATTTTTCAATGGTTGACTGTGTTGTTTTTTAATCGAAAACCATAAAAAACAGGTGTTTTTTTCACTTTTTTATTGTCTGCTAATGGTCCCCAACGACTTTTTGAAAGACAACGGTAGGTCATGCAGGGGGGGGTGACCATATATATATATATATAAATATGTATGTGCGCTAGAATGGGTTCATGTGTTTCATGAGAACGACAGGGTCTAGTCTAGTCTTGCGTATTTCCGTTATTTGTGAAAGAGTTTTAATTTGAACGACTCCGCGATACTTGAGTTCAACAAAACTAGTGCAGCTGGGGCATGGCCTAGATTCGACTTGGGGAGACAGCTTGAAGAACGAGCTTGCCTAGAAGACTCCCGAGATGCTTTTACAAGCGTGCAGTAGCATGCAGCTCCAGGTTTCTATCTACGCTCTCAAGGCAAGGGATGACGGTTGGTGCTAAACGGAAGGGCGGGAACCAACATTGAAGGGTCGTCTGGGTGAGTCTTTTTTGAGGGGGGTCCCCCAAAATGGTGGTTTTCCTTTTGAATTTTGGTTTGGAATTAACAAATTGTAAAACCACAAAAGAAGAAAACCACACCCGTCTTTACGATTCTCCCTCTCTCCCGGCGGCCTCGTCTTCCTCTTCGGCCGATTCCTCTTCTTCCTCCTCGTAGCAGGAAAATGGGCTCATGGCTTTGTCCACCTCGGCAGCGAGCAAACGTCAAGGCGTCCTCATGGCTCGCAAAAGTGGTACCCGTTTTTGGGCCCCTTTTGGGAAACAAAGACCAAAACCTGCGTAACCCCAGCTCTTCAATTTTGAGCCACGGCCATTTCCGCTTTGATGCTGGAGAGACCAAAGCAAACCAGCCAATTGTTGGTTTTAGACAGCCCCCAAATGGAGAATGCTTCAGTGGACAAGTCGCGAATTTGAAAGGCAGAGAAGTCCAAAACTCCATGCGATGATGTGTCACATGAGTATCTGGTTCCTGACTTTTTTGGGGGTCAGTCGGCCAACTTCGTGAAACTCGCGTGACACAAAACCCATGGTGTTAAGAAAGAGTCGACTAAACGCCCCAACGATGGCCAGTCGCCCACGGCCAAAACAAAAAAACACAGCAGCAACCACAACAACAACAATCAAAAGCAATGCAAAAGGATGCGAGCCAGTCCAGTTGCTCGGAACAAAAAGATGTGTGAGATTGCCAGTCGCATGGCTTCTGCAAGGACCGCCCGCGCAAAACAAAATGGGCGAGCTCGTTAAACTAGTGCAGAGAGGTGATGACCTTTCGGGTTGCCATGAGTAAAGCTCGACCAATCTGACAGACAACCTGGACCACTGGATTCTGATTCGCCGTGCTAGATTCGACCTCGTGACTCGCCAACCTGAAACAACCTGAAGGATCCTGCAGGGACCAGGGCCCGAAGGGAACCGTTTTCATGGGTACCGCTCCAGGAGTTTTATTTGATGTGGGGGGTGGTTTTGGCCCCTCCAAAAGTGGTCTGAATCCCCACCAACACCCGGAAATGGACACCCCCCTAATAATAGCCAACCTGAAACAACCTGAAGGGACCTGAAGAGACTTTGGAGGGAACCTTTTCATGGGTAGCGGCTTTATTTGATATGGGTGGGGGCCCAGTAAACGGGGGCCCGCTGCGGTTCTGCGTCCTCCCGGGTCAGCACGGCAACTGAGCTCGGTGCCACCTCATTCTCCGCTCCCCTCACATAGGCAGCTTCCTCGCGAGGCTCGTTTTGGTCCCTTTGGTCGGCCGGCCGACGGAAACGCGGACGTGATCTGAGGCATTCCCCCGTAGGTGGCATCTTGGATGGAAATAGATTCTGTTTTCCTGGTACATGCATCGAAACCAGTGGAACCCATCTATTTCTACCGAAATCAACCTTAAAAGGCCACCTATGATTGCAACATGTGGGTTTGTAGAGTTGCTAACTTGTCTGGATTTGTTATAAAGAAACCAAACCGAAAAGAGACACCCCGCATTTCTTGTGGTTCAAAACGCCGCTAAAGTGAATACCTCGTTTCATCCCCCAACCAAAAATTGAACTCACAAGGTTGCTGTAAATTGGCAAAAGAGTCTTGGCCAAAAATCCAATAAAGTTCCAATATAGTGGGACAAGCAGACACTTGCTCCGTTCTGCGTTCGTAGATATGATTCCAATGAACCTCAGGACTTAGGACCGAACTTTGTGGACTGTACGCACAGTGCGCCGCCTAATTCATATCTCTATGCGTGTAAGAAATCGGCATCTACATGTCTTAGGTTGTGGCTCGCCTTTGGATCACAATCGCTGTGCGATTCAGGAAGCACTTCTCTTCTCGTGCATCCGCACGTGCACAAATTCACTTTGTCGGATTGCTGTGTTGCTTCGGTCCGGCTATACTCTGGGGTCAAACAGAGTTCCGGCATGAACCTTGTGATGCCTTCACACCACTAGGAGCGTCCCCTCGACTTTCCGCTTGGCTTCTCTGCTCGCGGAGCATCTTGCAAAACCAAACATGTTGTGAAAACGCATGAGGTGAGCATTGTCATCTCTCCCCTTGCCAAAAAAACAATGTCTCTTAGTCGCGTATCAAGAAATCCATGACTCCTCCAACTTTGGGATCTTTCACGGGTTAGAGTCAGGGCCGGCAAGCTCTCTCTGTCGCAACCCCGTGATTTGGGCATCGCTTCCGCTGTCCCCCTTGAAAACTCGTGGTTTCTGGGGAAAACAAAAAATGGGACGCGATCAGGGCATGGTGGGCGTTTCCCTTTCAAAAACCCCTTTCAAGCCGCCCGTTCTGCAAGGGTGCCGCTCATCCATCCGCTCAACGGAACCAATCCGATCGACCCCGGTCTGAGCGCCTCAGACTCGTACTCCGCCATGATCCACTCCTGAAAGGCGGGAGGGTGAGGATCGGTGACCCGCTTTCTTGGGTCCGAAATCGAGTGGCTTTCCCAGGGAAATGGCAAAAAGTAGATGGGTGTTTCCCTGAAAAAAGGACATAAACCAATATAGCCAATCTAAAACCATAGGTGGGTGACCTTTTGGTTTTGACGGGTGTTGTTTTTGCTGATTTTATTTTATTTATTTATTTTGGGGGGGAAATGGATGGCATAAAGCCACTCTAAACCAGTGGAACCCATCTTCTGACTAAACTAACGGATCAAAAGGACACCTATGGGCAAGATGCTGAGTAGTTGTGCTCCATGTCCCAAATCCTAAAACCTCGAATATTCCAAGTCCCGGTACGTGTGATTGCTTAAAACCCATGTGTGAACGGCATAATCCTGTGGTTTCATTTGTTGGCTCTCACGGCAAATGGCATGAGTCAGACGCTGCCCAAAAAAATGAAGAAAACAAGTAGCACGTGATGCTCAGAATCGCTAGGCCAAATAAAGTTCGAACCCAGGCCTAACCCGCTCTGCCAATCTATTCATAGTCTTGTTCGTTGCTTGTTTCAATCCCACTTGTGACAACTCCTGAAAACCCACCATGATAAGGAGATACCTCCATCGGATACACAAATCAAATGCTGGCAGCTTGTTTTTGTTTTGCCTAGACACTGAGACTAAGAAGAGCCACTGCGCGTTGGTAGTATTTCGTTCAGAAGAGAGCCAGCATTCATCGTGCAAAAGATACGGGCCTCTCATCCCAGCTGAGCCTCAATCAAAACTCGGTGGTAGGGCACAAAGGAAACTCAAGGTCTGGTTGGGACTGCCCCCGAGCCCTCAATTCCCCTGGTCCAATCGCTTGGTTCCAATTGGTGGTTGGATTGGTGGCTTGGCGGTTGAGCAGGGTTGCCTCTGCAAGAAGCAGGGGTTCGAATCCCCCAACCAGTCCAAGCCACCAACTAGGGGTTGCCTGAACCATGGGCTCTTGCCCCTCTGCTCTGAGAAAAATTACACAAATGCGTTGCAACAGATCGGTGGCTTGGACCTTTTCAGCGGTTCCGCAAGAGCGAGTGCTGACCAAGTGGTCGCCCCTGACAACACATCCCGCTGAGAACGGGGGATTTACCGTTTCTTCTTCAAGAATACACAGCCACGCCTCATTTTGAGGGGTCCGTCCTTCCCTAGGAGCCCTTCGTTTCAATACGAAAGATCGTCACAGCCATCGGTCCTTGTCCAATCCCAAGCGCTGCATGATTCCTGAGACTGCACACATTAAAAAAAGAAAGGCCTCGATGGGTTTTCCAACCAATGGTCCTGCCATGACCTTCATCACCCACCAAATAGATTGGTGACCGTGTATAGCGGCTGCAATGGACATTGCTGTCGAAGGTATTCCACAATGTTGAAGAATGAATATTGAAACTCAACTGCCCAGAAAATTGGGCGGCTCACGTTGCAAATCTGGGTCATACGAGCTAAAAGCCGTGCTAGCCACAGACCTCCGGACGGATGGCATATGAATCACTCTGAAAGTTCCCTACTCCGCCAGCAAGATTTTATGTTTGGAACCATTGAGAATACAATTATTTTCCTGCACGATCCTTCCACGGGGAGACACCTCAAAAAAAAACAAGTGCACAAATGCATCGCACATCATGTAGCAAGGAACGGCCCTTGTGTCCCGTCGCTCTCAAAGCTTGTATTCACGGCATGGCGAGGCGTGGTTTACCTGAAGGATCCATCCAGCAAGCTGGCTTGTGACAGGTCAATATTCTTAATACAACTGATGCAGCCGATGCAATAACACAGCCAGGCCACGCTTGCCGCGAGCAGTGACGTTCCGGTTGAAGTTCTTCTCCCTTGGTTGAAGCGATAATCCACTCGCGAGCCAAAACCAAGTTCTGGCGATTGCTCACGATATCTGCCTGTGCATGCTGGCGCGTGTGGTACCTAAAACAATCGCAGGGCTCGCATGCATATGCGATTGCTCCCACATGACCCACTGCAACACCTCTATCTAAATGGTGCAACTGAGGTGGGCTGGTGTGTGTGTGTGTGCCATGGGTCACAAAAGCACCACGGAAGTGAACGTCGGCCCTGAAGCCCCGGGCGCCGGAGGGATGGGCCCTTTAAGCCAATGAAGCCTGTCCGTCCAAGAAACATGTCTACGCTGACGCATTGCACAAAACGGGCCTAACAAGAAAAAGACAAGTCTACCATTGCAGCATGCAAAACAACGCTGGCGTGTCCTGTATCTGCATCAATCTTGGCCACTTCCGGACTCTCCGATAATCCATCCACTTCAGCGCAGAGTGCACCAGCTGCACGCAGCATGCGTGCAAACAAACAAAATGAAGCTCCCAGTGCAATTCCGGCACCACTGAAGAGACTGACAGGAACTCCGAGACGGCACTGCTTGTGCTGGGTGAAACACTGAGGCCACGGCACGTTCGACACTAGGTGAAGGTTGCCAAATACTCCGGCAGACCTGAGTGCTCCTCTCTCGCATCTCCGAGACATCTGAGTCCGGGCATGTGCTTGCAAGGAAAATCAGAGTTCAATGGTCGCCCCTTCTTGAATAGTTCTCACAGCCCTACAGAACCCATCGTGTCATCAGTGCCTCAAGACATGAACGCGGCCTGTGAGCCTTGAAGAGGAGGGAATAAAGGTACGTTTCCTGCACTTTTTCGGACGTCCCTGCATGGTTCTCCCGGTCGGTCAGATCATACCTTCCACCCCTCCCCCAAAAAAATATATCAAAAAATCCTGGAAGCCTCAACCAACAGGCCGGGTGTCAAAAGGCAAAAACGGTTGCATCCAACCAAAGCCCCTCGGCCGTGCAAACGGACCCCGGGGTCTTTCCAGGCCGGCACGGAAGCCTGTCGGGTGTAAAATAAACAAACATATACGGCCGGAAGAGATATTAAAAGGGCTCACTTCCTGAGTGGATGGGCATGCAAAAAACGTCAAAAAATGGTCTTCCCGGAAAAAAAACAAGTTTAACGTCCGGAAACTCGGGAAGTGAGAAGGTGTGTCCACGGGCATTGCGGCTCACTGGACAATTGCACTTACTACTTCACAGGCAGTCAGTGTCAGTGGAGCAGGAAGTTGCCCTTTCTGCCCTGTTTTTGGGAATTAACCCGCGCCCCAGAAAGTGGACAGGAGTTGTTTGTGTGATGCCGCCATCCTTCCAAAAAAGTCCTTTGCTCGTGCGTGCTTGTTGGAAACAAGGCAACCGTAAATGTGGGTGGTGTCTTTTGTTGAGGGTACTTTTGTTGTGATTAAAGGAAAACCCAAAGATCCCACAGTAAGCCAATGCCCAGTGGCTCACTATCACTCAAGATGTCTGAAGCCAAAACGTTTTCCAGGCATCTCCAAGAAGCAAGTAGCTTCTCCGGTTCACTTCTTGGTTTCCAGCCTAACCGCACCGATTAGACGCATGGGGAAAAGTCAAGACATAGCCAGGCCCCGGGCTCCATGAACAATGGCTCCTGGGCACTGGCCGGCCCCGATCGAAAGGTCGAGAGGAGTGGCTTTGTTCACGTCTGGTCAGCTTCGCTCGTGGTTTGGTGGTTTGGAGCCTGGTGGTTTGGTGGTTAAGGGGGTCAGCTTCCCTCAAGAAGAGTGACTTGGAGGTTTGTTGGTTTGGTGGTTGTTAAGGGCGGGTGTCCCGTTTACTCTCTACAAGAACCAGGGGTTCAAATCCCCAAAACAATCCAAACCACCAATTGAGGGTCACCTGATTTGGGTGTGGTTCAAAATCACAATGCAGCTGGGGCGAACCGCTGGTTTTAGGCTTTGCATCCATTCACCAAGCTGCCATTCTGGTACATGTGTTTGAGCCACAGCCATTTGAAATTTGTAGGGGTCCAGGTGCTCTTTTTGGAGAAAACAAAGAAGAAGAACACGTAGTCGCCCTCTCTTTGAAAGGCCGAGCTCCTATCGTCAGATTGCAGAAACTTTGCTGAGGCGAGCGCTTGAGCGCACCACTCACATGTAATTAGGGGTGGTGTCCCACACGTGCCACGCTGCAACTTGCCGTTGGGGAGCGCAGTTTCATCTCGGAAAGCATCGCATATCCTGGATACAAAACTTGCTTTACCTCCAACCTTTTGAGGAAACCTGGGCTGTCCTCAGATCCCTTGCTACAAGTTTAACTTTCAGTGGGTCAAACGGAAACCCCCACTACCCGGGGCCTAATTATTGAACACACATGCCCGCTTGGGCACAACCCTCATCGACCTCCAGATCTCCAAATGGCCAGTGAGTGTTCCATCTGCGCAAATCTGATGATTCACGACTGGTGCTTTTGAAAAATTGGAGACCGCTGGTCTCCTTTTGGCCAAATTCCTGGAAGGGCTGCTTAGTCACTTTAGGGACTCTACCTTGCAACTCCTCCTGGGCCACGCACGGAATCCAATTAAGTTTGCTCCCCACCCGAATCCGGAATTACCTCGTTGGCCCAACATCCAAATGCTGAGGGCACTGAGGTATCCCAACTGCACAAGTTTCCACCGGCGGCTATGCGCGATTGGCATTCTTTACAGACAGTCTGCAGCCTCCAGCTAGGGAAAAGCGATCGACGCGTAAGAGTACGGTCAAACTTCCATACGATCAGTTTCTCTGGCAAGGTTCCCCCTCCCTTTGAACAAATTGCATAGGCAGTACAGGTAAAGTCCCTCCCAACAAATGAACTACACCAGGCATACAGCAGCCTCCCGATCAGTACACTGTCAGCGCCAACTGAAGCTTTGATCTGAATGACGAAGACACCACGGTAGCTCTCCAACCTAAACCTGGGATGCAACAGGTACCTGACATTGACAATCCCAACCACCCGGAAACAAGTGGGCGATATCCCTTCAACTGCTATTTGAACTCATCAAACAATCATCTCCCAGTACATCCAAAGAAAAACCCGAAGCTGATGTAAACTTGACACATCAAGCGCTTTCAGGTCTTCCTTTCAAGAGTTGCGAAGGATTCATCGCCACTGGGGATTTGAGCAAATCTGCCCTCTCAATTCGGCAGCCAGCCCCCCGTCACAGATTCAGAAGGCAAGGCTCGTGCGGCACTTGTAGAGTCAGCAAGTGTGGAGAGATCCTGAGACAAGCCAAACAGCCAGAAATTCAATCAGTGAGGGGACGGTCCATAACAGACTATGGGTTTTGGGTGTGTGCAGGCAAAGGGAGCCCATGTCAGGTGTCTCAACTGCTGATTTGAAGCGCCCAACATGTGCCACGGTCCAAAGATGAAGACCTTTCCTGTAATAGACATTGGACATTTCGCATGCCGCATCCCTGATTTCTGCGGTTGAAATCAGTGGTGCGATCGTCTCATCTGGAGGTCTGGACTGCGAAATTGACCCAAACACTTGGGGTTTGAACAAACTTCATTTGGCAAGAGTAAGCCTCCGGACCCATGTTGGGATGATTTAAAAGAGCAACACATGCCAAACATGTGGGAAGGTCGATTTTGACACCTGCTAGATTCTCCTGGTTTCCGCCAAAATACATGACATGTCCTAAGCCAGCAATTCGGCATTCTCAAGTAAGGCACCAGTGCCATGGTTTTTGCTTGGCTATCCTCGATTGAGCTCGCCATGAAGCAGGCGCTTGCAGTTCATCTACTGCCGTAAGCAAAGGGCAATGACCGCTGGCAAGCGACTGGAGGAATCCATGGGCAGGCGACTGGCCCTTGCTCCCGGCTAAAAAAGCAGTTTGATACTCAGGGCCGTCAGCGGTTCATTTCAAGTATGATCTGCTAAAGTGAAAGAGAACAAGCACCTGGGTGCTTCCTGAAACATCCCTAATATTGCTTGGTCCCCCTTCAAACGCCTTTCAATCCTTGGGGTCGTTGAATCTTTGGACAGCTGGTTTTCTTCGAGAGACAAGCCCGGCCGAGCGTCAGTTTCGCAGATGTATCCAAGTGACCAAGATCGCGCCATCTACCGACAGACTCTGAACAAAAGGGCAAGCCTTAATTTCAGCCCAACCTTGGAACTGGGAGCTCATGTTCTGGCAAAACCGGGAGCCAAAAGGCCTTCGGAGCCTGGTGCTCTTAGAGATATGACTGCAAGCCAGAACTTTTGAAGCCGCCACGATTCATTGCGCAAATACATGCGAAGCCTTGAAATGCCTAGCGCCCACAGCACTATTTGAAACGATGCGCGACAAATGAAACTGATCTCAATTTCCAAAGTACCAGATAACGCACAAAACGGTCTGTGGTTAATGTCTGGCGATGATTAATTCAGTACGAGAATGAGCATGTCGACTGAAATTGAACCAAAACTCCGTCGGGCGAGCTTCGAAGGAAAGGCCGCCAAAGAAAACTGACAACAAAACAGCAGATCGCCACTTAGCGGTGGGACCGCTTCATAAGTCAACTAGGGATTAAGTATTGCCCCGGGATTCATTGTCCCCTGCTGATTGATAGGGCCGTGCTCCATTACATATATATATATATATAGCGCAACGCCCGGGGTTTGCCCAGGCGTACAAGCGTGTATATATATATATATCTCTCAGACTAACCTGGAAGCTCCCAGAAGGCCTCCATTAAGAAAAGGAACCAAGTCCATGGGTCCTGGGAGCTTCAGGAAGAATCGCCTGGACCCTCCAAAAAGGGACCGATCCACACCCGCGTCCCTCCAAAGCCGCAGCCTGGCTCAGCCGAGCGGCATGATGGTGCCGCTGCCGTCCGGCTGGAGCTCGCAGATCCGCTTCAGGATCTGACCCTTGCCTCTCCGAAGCGGGCAGATTTCATGACCAGGGTTCCGTGTTTTGTTGACGTTCCCCAATTGAAGAAGCAGATTGAACAGCGACTGCTTCCGAATGAATTCCCATGCTTTCTGGGTTTCTTGCCTTTTCAAACGTCACTCAATCAATTTGATTGCCTTCATATGACCATTGTCTATTGAAGGCTATTAATTTTCGTGTTTTCTTGCCTTCATGGGTCATCCATTCGGAAATCCCACGCCAGGTGCTTCTCGCCACGGCAGTTGCGTAAATGACTTCGCGGGGACCCCACAAACTCGAACACCCCCCTACAAGAGAACACGTTCAGGCCTTGATGCGGCAACTTATCTTCAGCACGAGCAGTCTTTGCAAGCCCCAACAACGTCCGGGGGGCAATCTTTTGAAGCTTGGTGTTGTAGGAATTCTGATGGTGGGTGAGTCTTTTTCCACGCGCTCCGGCCATGGCACGTCATAAAAATGGGGGTGGCAGGGACAACACGGTCACGGGCAGGGGTCCATTTTTTTTGACCACAAAGTGGACTTAAATACCAAGAGGGGTGGTTTCCCCAAAGACACTCATTTATGAAGCCAGCGGGTTGTATGTTCACGCGTCAACGGTAGCACCCTTCTTGAAAACTAGAACATTACAACCTGAAGTCCAGTTGAGAGGAAAGAACGCGGAATGGGGCGTGGCTCGTACACCGAGCAAAATACAGGCAATAAGTGCAAGAAACAATCAAGGCTGGCCTGCATGCTTGCTTGCCTGCCTGCTTGCTTTGCCTGCCTGCCTGCCTGCCTGCCTGCCTGCCTGCCTGCCTGCCTGCCTGCCTGCCTGCCTGCCTGCTTGCTTGTCATGCACACATCCTAGCATTGCCTAGCCACCAAACCATTTTTGACCCATGAGACTTCGGTCAATAGGTGTGGATTCATGCCTTGACTGGCCCGTTGGAAAGCCGGGCCCCACTTGGCCCATTGGCCGTCTCCAAGAAACACTACCCTGAAAAACTCAGCAGCCCATAAAATCCTTGCTGCGTAAAGACGCAGCGTTTCCTGCTGAATGAGCTGAGCTCCAGATGTCCGAACATGGCTCAGATTCTCTATCCAAGGCCTTACATTGCAACGGCTGCAAACCAAGGGTCAAATGAGTCATAATCAAAACCCGCTATTAAAATTGTCTACCCAGAACCATGTAAAGAATTAAGAAGGCGGCCGCAGCTATTTATGGTTGGGATTGTCCCTTACTAACCTTCACTTACCCGTGTTTTGATTGTGGCTCAAATTGGCATTTGCTGTTTCCAAGAGCAAGCCGTATCACATGGCTCATCGCAGCAGATTCCGCAACACCTGCATTTAAACTGAGCCCATGGAAGAAGGATGGGAAGCCATTTCTGATTTCAGCCACCCGCTGAAGCACTTTCGGGTCAAAGGGTGCCGAAACGAGTCTACTGTAAATGCCCAAGGCACATAGAGGCAAACTCATCACCAATTTCATGCAAGCTGCCAAGTCGTTCGCAATCAAAGTCGGTTCAAGCATAGGTGACCTTTTGGAAAAACTGAACTGATGGCCCTGGTAAATGGAATGAAACCCAACTAAACCAGTGCCATCTATTCCTGAGCAAACTAATCCAAGAAGCACACATGATATGAATTCAAGACCGAAGAGCAGGGGCCGGGGCTTGCTGAGGTAACTATCCAGTCCGTCCCAATGGCGCAGGCTTGACCCCAGCCGCGCCTGAGTCGTGTGGGCCAATGACGTGAATCACCGAGCCTGCGAGGGAGCGATCTGCGCGAGCGCAAACGTGGCGGTGCAAAAGATCCCGGGAGCCGCGAAGACTGGCGATTCCCCAATTTCTCTTCACCCCGCCCGCCACTGTCTTCCAAGACCAAAAATATATATATATGATTGTTATGCAACGTCTTGAAAAGATGGATCCCTGAAGAGAACAGGATGGGTGCAAAGCTCCAATCATTTCCTGAAGAACCTCCACAGTCGCAATTGAAGTTCACCAAACGGAAAAGAAAAAGCTGGCTCCTCTTTGGGTACTTTCGGTTCACGTTTTGGGAGTGTTCTCTTCAATAACTATAAGGAATTAAGCATTAATTTTCACACATTCGTATCTTCTGATCATGTTTCACATTGGTTTCCTAAGTACCAACTCTTTGGGGATCCTCGGGCACCCAGAGTGCGTTCTGTGTGCGCCACGCGTCAGTGACTACGCGTTTTCTCCGGTCACTCTCCCACAGCGAAAGATGCCGTGAAGTGTATCCGCGGTTCAGGTGTCACCCGGCCTTGTGGCGCTTGTGTTGATAAGCATCCTGCTCCAGTATGCATGGTGGGCGAGTGGTCCTCAGATGAGCCACACCACTGGGGGCGGGCAAATGTCAAAGATCGCGCTGCTTGGATAACCCGCATGGAACATCATGTTGCACCAACTCAAGATCTTGAGGTTTCCCGGAGATGGAACCCCAAAAAAGGAACCTTGTTTGCTTTTCGCTCACAAACCCCGGCAACTGTGGGCCAGGATTCTGCAACAAGATGCCGATCCATTTGTCCCTTGCCTTTGGGACTTCGAAATCACTGGGGTGGTTCTCCCCGAAAAACACGCCGCCACGACAAAAAACCCAACATCTCCTGGGCGAAATACGCCACCAAGGAGGGGGAAATGGGCCAACCACCTGTCACACTGAACCATTTTCCAACCACCAACAATCCCGGACATCACCGGTGCCCTGGTGGCTAGATTTCAGCTTCTTCCAAAGAAATCCTCCTGTAACTGACCCCCCACCCCGCACCTCCACTCGCCCTGACCAAGCCCCTGAATCTTCAAATTCTCTTACAGAAAGCCAACTCGAAAATGGATGGGGTTCTTCCGACTCATTCCCACGAGATGAGTTGGTTGACGAGAATGGATGAGGTTCTTCTCCTCATCCCAACTTATTCCCTGCTTCTCGCCCCGGAGTTTTTCCTCCGAGCTGCGATCTTCACGTTGCTGAAAACGATGGGGATGGAGTCAAACATCGGCGCCTCATGGCAACTGAGGTAAAACATCCAGGCGATAAGGGTGAGGTCCCCATGCATACATACATGTTATCTATGTATATATACATAGATATATATATATATATATATGTGGTACGCCCCTCCCCTGGTGCCTATGTTTCGCTGCATTTGACCACCTTCTTCAGGACTTTTGCATTTTTTGGCCAAACACGGGCACCAAGGAGGGTGTGCCATAATTCTGCATACTATATGTGGATTCCTTAATAACTGGTATTCAGAAATCTAGATCCAAGCACAAAGATTGCTGGGGGAATTTCAATGTGAATATCATGTTTTGCTGTTTCCAAGTGTCTCTTAGAATCTAAAAAAACTAGTTCCCGGTTTTCCCGAAAGCGTGTTTGACAAAGGTCATGCAAGAATGTTGTGATGTATATAGGTGTGTATCCAGGCACTACTCTACTCAACAGCTGAAGTTCTTAAACCTACACTTCCACGCGCCAAGGAAACATCTAAGCAACCCATTTCTAGCATGCAGCAATCGCATTGCAGAATTGCCTCATTGTCCATGTGCAATGCTAAGCGGCGAACGTGAAACTGCGCAATCAAGCCCACGCGTTCAACACTGAGTTGCGCGCGCCGCTGTGCAATCGATTCGCCCCCGCTCTCTCTCTCTTTCTCTTTACCTTTCTTTTCCTCTCTCTCTCTCCCTCTCTCTCTCTTTCTTTTATCTTTCTCTTTCTCTTTATCTTTATGCTTCTCTTTCTCTTTGCGATTGTGCAGCGGGAGCTGCGGGAGTGCACTGCGCGTACTACTTTTGTACGTAGAAAATCGAGCTGGCGGGAGTGCGCTTCGTGTACTACTTTTGTACTAAACAATTGTGATTTCGCAGTCGGGGCTCTGGGAATGCTCTTCGTGTACTACTTTTGCACTTTAAACTTGCAGGCTTTCAGCCGGAGCTGCGGGAATGTACTTCGCGTACTACTTTTGTACTTAGAAGTTGCGAATTTCCAGCCGGAGCTGCAGGAGTGCGCTTTGGGAGCTGCGGGAGCGCACTTCGTGTACTACTTTTGTACTCACAAGCTTCCAGTTTCCAGCCAGAGCTGCGGGAGCACAGTTTCCGTACTATACTTTGGTACTTGAGAATTGCTATTCTTGAGCCGGAGCTGGCGGACCCAGGGGGAATCGAACCCACGACGCCGCGATTGCGAAAGAAGGCGCGCAAACCACGAGACAACTTTCAAAGACCATTCGCGAGCAGCAAAAGCAAGACAATTCGCGCGGTGCAATCGTCACACACAATCTTCGCAGAGGGTTCGTCGGCGAAGTTGCACATCCGCACGGCGCCACAGCGAGAGCGATTCGACACGCACAATCTCCGCACACGGTAATATGGTTTCGGGGCATTCATGGATCCAAGATTCCCTTCAAACGTCCCCCAGCAATCTTGGATCTAGGATCTCGGATCCAGATTCCTGAATACCGAATATTAAGGAATCTACATGACAGTGCGAAGAAATCTTGATACCGGTATTCAGGTTTCAGGCTGGGCAAGATTTCCCTCAAAAGTCCCTCAGCAATCTTGGATCTTTTGTCTTAGATCCAGACCTTTTATTACCGGAATTAAGAAATCTGAATAACAGTACTAAGAAATCTTAGAGGTTGATGGGGGAGACATTCACATAGAAGACCTCCCTCAAAAGTCCCGAGGATGCATTTGGATCTAAAGACTGTATTGAGGAGTTTAGATTCAACAGTCATAATATCAGGGGGCAAATTGGCAAAACAGTTTCACACCCATTTGCATGGGCAAGCTTTAATGTTGAATATCTTTCGTTTTCTGGACAATGCTTTCCTTGGCAATTGTGATTATTGATGATTGCTTGTTCCTTGTTGTTCCAGCGATATTCAGATTGCCTTTGTTGGTCCCATTTCTGTAGTTTTGCAGGGGTCCGGCATGTCTACATGTTGATTGTGTTTTCTCTTGTCATAACGGAATTGCGCTCTGTCCAAAACCAGAGTAAAGTAGTTGTTTACACCACTATTGTCTTAAACTGACTCTATGCCCTTTTCTGGAGTCAAGATGCTGGAGAAAGCTTTCCTGGAATTCTAGTTGCTTTTGTGCTAGAAGTACAAAATATCCTTGTGTGGGTCCAGTTTCTATAAATTCCAGAGGCTTCTAGCCTATCTACATGTTGATGCATTTTTGCTTGGAATGGTTTCCTTGGAATTGGCCAAGATGAAATGGGCATGATGGACTGCAAGCCTGCATCTCTCTGCTTAGGTCTGCTGCAATAATAGTTTAAACACTACAGCCTGTCTGCTCAAACCAAGCAAAACGGTGCCTACGGCAAAACCATCAAAACTATATAGCCTGAGCGCTCAAATTAAGCAAATTATTGGGGATAGGCACAACAGGGGGCGAGGGGGGGGGGGGGGGCGGCGTAGCACATATATATATATATATAAATAATGTATCCATGTACATACACACATTTTGTATATGTGTTATATATGTATGTATGTTCAGACAGGGTTTGACATGTCCCTAGCTCTTGACATGAGCCATGTCTGGCAGAAGCCTGGAAGAATAGAGGTGGAAAGCCTCCTTTAAGTGGTGGGAATTGATCATCTCATTTCTCTGATTGGTACACGCGAATTGTCACTCTTGTGACACTCAATGGCAACGCAAATTGTGACACTCCATGGCAACAGCAAAGTGATTGATGTTGCACAATAAAGTCACCTAACGGCATAAGTTTGCTATATGGGTTCACTTGGGGCACATGCCACTGTAGCTGGAAGGGAAGAGTGATGCTTCGTTCATGGACCGCCAGACATGCCCGGAATTCCATTTACCAGCACAGTAGTTGAGCAAACTGACTTTTTCCGCTCGTTCCTCATCGCGCAGGCAGACCGGGCTGGATTCTTCACGGGTTACTTACTTTCCCACTCTTCCGGCATGTGGGCCATGTGGATTGGCAGCCAAAACAGGAGCCGAACTTGTTTCATCTACCACCAACATGGTCCAAACCCAAAACAAACCAAAGGAGTTTCTCCAAATGGACCTCTTTTGGTTGCTACGGACAAAGGGAATCCAAAAGACAATTATCTGAAGAACTCCCCCCATTTTGAGCAACACCCCTCCTTTTTTGCCGAGGTTTACGAGGGGGTCCTCCGTTCGCTCGACCGCTGGACCTGTAAGCGAGCGCCTGCTGATGGGACTCCAGCGCGAACTTCTGCCTCTGCGCGAAGACCTCCGCCCGCTGCGGGATGTCCTCGGCTGCGACGAGTCGAATACGCTTCGTGGACTCAGATGCCCGGCCATGGGCAAAAAAGGGCATCCTTCTTTGGGTTGGTGGAGGGTAAAGGGGAACTCTTCCCAATAAAAAGGGGAAAAAGGGCGCCACTGGGCAACTGGGTGGAGTCTCCAGCCATTTGGGGAATACGTCCCCAGGAAAAATTGGAAAATATGTCCAGTGATAGATTTTCCCTTTGAAACCAACAGGGGAACATGAAAACTATTCTGAAGCAAATTGAAATTCCAACTAAGTTTGAGCTTTGGGCTTGAAGGAGTCATTAAAACAGCTTACCCAGAAACATGGTTGGCGCCTGTTAAGATCCTATTATCACCATCCAAAAGGTCCCCTCCATTTTCGGACCGCCCCGTGTCCCCCAGTAATTCCATCATGGAAGGCAACTGATGTTGAAAATAGATGGTCCCAGCCCTGGTAAATGGAAGAAACAAGTCTAAACCAGTGCCATCCAGTTCAACCGAACAAAACACCTTGACGGTGTCCAACCCAGTTGCCGGCCATGGCATGTCTGGAGATGCTAAGAATCCCGCCGTCGGATGTTCTGTTCTTGGCGCCCAAATGGGGCAGTTGAAAGAAGACCTGCCATAAAATGCTTCTCCTCCTTCTGGAATTGACAAATGCAATGAGCCCAAATGAAAGAATCCCCCGTTGCGAATTACCATGGAGACCCCCTATTGGGCCCTCCAAACAAAGCGGGGGATGTGAGTGCGGCAGGTACTGTGCGAGCGTGCCAAGACTACTGTCGCCAACGCCTCGAGGAAAAAAAAGTCAGACCGTAACGCGGCCAACATGGATGCATTGGGTCTGAGTTGTTGCTGCTCTTGTTTGTTAGTTTCCTCGAGGTCTTGATTGAAAAGTGTACAATCCTCGAGAAAATCATCAAAACTAAGAACAGACCCATGTATCCATGTTGGCCGAGCTAGGGTCTGACATCTTTCTCGAGGTACCAAGAAGAATCATTTCTTGACAACAAGGACACATCTGCCATCACAGTCTGGGGATTTCACCAGCTAACCGCAAGAGAACTGTACTCAAAACACCAAAACAACCAGAAGAAACAGCCAGCTTGTCTTTCCTTACCAGATTCTATCTAGGTTATAGCTAAATCCAAATATTAGCTACTTGAAAAGGAAACTCCGTTTAAATTCTGACTCAAATTGAATCACTTAGAAGAAACAAACAGCTCGTTTCCTTGCTAGATTCTACTTAATTCAACCGTCATGAAGTTCTAACTAAGTTCTAATGAAATGTCCAATCAGCATACTATTTGGAAAGGAAATCCCATTTAGAATTGGAAGGAACTCCTGTTTATAATATACTAAAATTTGAACGCGTATTTGGAAAACATCCCATTTAACATCAAAATTCACACGTAATATCAAAGTTACAATTACAATTAGCTTCCAACTGGAATCCTGCTTGGAAGAGAAGTGCTAAGCAATAGCAAGCTTAAGAAACATGAATTGCCTCGCAATGCAAATATTGCAAACAATTGTAATGAAATCAATTTTCCTACAATGGTTTATTGTTCGCTCCTTTTCAGGGGTCTGCAAATTGGAAGAAACGACAAACTTCTCTTTCCTTCTTACATTCCCAATTAGAATCCGTCCTAATTGGACAGGGACCCCTATTTAAATGTCAATGCAACATATTGTTTGAAGTTTACATCTAATTGAGATATGAAGCGTTGCAATCTTCAACGTGTAAACCAACAGAACTCCAATTGCATTTTCCCCGAGCTGCTATTCATTTGTCTCTCCTTTTAAGGGCCGGGAAAACTAGAAGTAACGACCAGCTCGTCTTTCCATACAGGATTCTAGTTGATGTTTAATTCAGTGTTCATGCCAAACAGTGTAACAGGAATGAAAAGAAAGATGCTAAGATCATTGCAGCTACTCTAGCAACAGACAAAACCTGACACGACACTGTTAGTGACTGGCCTTTTCTTCAAAGCTGTCTGATAGTGCACGCTTGCAACAGACAATCAATTTTGGGCACAACATCCAAGGTCCACAGCAACAAAAGGGTATTGCCAGCCTACTGCTGAGTCTCAACCGCGCGCAACTCTCACATTTGGGATTAAAATTGTTGCATTTCATGGCATTAAAAAACGCCCCCCCCTGAGGGCGTGCTCTCCCTCTTTTGGGGTGGTTTCAAAGGGAAACCAACAGGAAAACCGAAGCCGTTTTGGGGGGTCCTGCCTTAAAAGACACACCCATATGCAGAAACAGTAAGAATTGGGTGATGTACAATGCAGCAGCCACAAGCCCCGGAGTTGCCAATAACATTAGAAACACCTCCCCCAGACCGGTCAGACCCACTTGCCCCTTCTCTCTCACCCCGGTCGGCTATGTGTCCTTAGCCCCGCAACGGAGCTTTCAGAACCGCCCAGTCTCTCAACTTCTGTAGATAGGTAAGGTTGTAAAGAAACCTCTTTATTCTCTTTAGAGTTACCCTCCCACCAATTAACGTGGAACCTGACAGGTCCAGGACCCCTCTGTCAGGTTCCATGTTAGTTGGTGGGAGGGTGAGCGTTTTGGATTATCTGTTGTTCTTGAAATTCCTTATCGGTTTGTCTTGTTTTGGGCTTTCTGTACGTTCAATCTCAGGTAATGTTCCTGTAATTCCCCAGTCCCAATCTGGGCTAGTGACTGATAAGGCTTAGGGACCCTTTTGGGTGCTTTGTTTCGGGGTCCCCTCTTGGGGTGTCCCTGACAACCATGGAAAATGCTGATCCAGGAAGGAACCCGTATTAATCATCAGTGTGTCGGGCCCCGTGATGAAACCCCTTGTGAAAAGACACCCTATTGATCAACCAGGGCTTAATCTTGGTGGTGCGATGGGTAGGGAATAGTGAACGAACCTTGTAAACCATCCAACTGGTGGTTTCATTTACAGGGACCCCTGGGTGCATTCCCTCATTCCCTACTGATCTCACCGGCAAATCATTCATCCGGGGACAAGAACTGTGCCATGCCAAACTGTGAGCGGTGGACATTTTTGGCCAAGCAAAAGCCACGAACGAAACCACACTGACCCTAGCAATACCAAACCAAGACACTAAAACCCAAACCACCAAGGCAATTGAGAACAAACAACAACCCCGCCATCCCCCCCCCAAAAAAAAGAAAATAACAAAATGTGTGTATATATATATATATTTATATGTGGCAGGGACCTTTTACGAACATTTGTCCATTCAGCTCTTGTTCTGACTTGACCCTCTCTCTTCATCCCACCCCTTCATGCCTCACAGAGAAGACTGAGAAGCGGGATGGCGGATGGGGAGAGGAAAGAGAGGCAAGGTTGACGGCGCGCTCGCAAATCGTTCTCTGAGTTCAACCGCCAATCGGAAGCTCCAACATTCCCATTTCCTTTTCTCTTGCTCTTGGGATTGCACCGCCATGAAACCCTTGATTAAGACATGCGGTTGCGGTGTGCGAAAGCAAAAAAAGCTTAACCGTAATCCCAGACGTAGGAAAGGGATGAGATTAGCCTCTCACATTTCCTTATCCAACCCCATTCAGGAATCTTGAAAATTGGGTGAGGTGGAACTGGAGAAAGCATAGGATGGAAAGGAATGGGAAAGGATATTATTGTCCCTAACACCCTTCTATGTCTAATTGATGGTGAGAGATGCACCCCTTTCCCTGTCAGCTCGTGGAATCGCATGCTAGGTAGGTGAACGGAGAGAAAGAGTGGATATGCGAGAGAAAGCGATGGGGGATAGAGAGAGACGGGAGAGAGTGGGATTAGGAATGGACCATTGCCCACTCTCATCTCTCCATCACACACCATCCCTTTCTCTTCATGCTCTTTCCCTGCCTTCTTTTACCCACAGACTACCAACTATGGAAGGAAGGGTAGGGATAGAAGAAGGGAATGGGATGTCACGGTCTTCCCTCTCTATTTGTCTTGCCTCTTAGTCATGGACGAGGCGAAGTTGGTCAGGGATGGGATCCCCGGAGCTATGCCATAAGATATGAATGGAGGCGGGGCAATAATTCCTTTACTTCTATTCATTTATTTATCTCTTACCTGTCACCCCCCCTTCACCCTCCAGTCTCAATTCCGAGCAACCTAAAGTGACGGGTGAAGGAATAAATAGATGAGACAGAGAGATACGTGAGCGAATGTTTGTGAGGGACATAATGCCTCTTGGTTGGTTTCGTGTCTCCCGTGACAGTCAGTGTTCAATAAGTTTTGGTCTAGACGGTTATCTGTGAAATCCTTGGCTGTTCATATCATCTTCTTGTTCATTGCCTCAGTTTGGAAGGGTTTCCCATTATCTCGTCGTACATTTTGGAAAGTTTCTAATAGAAAAACAACAAAATATTTATATCATAAGATCTCAGAATATAGGATTGTTAACAGGAGTTACAAGCATTGAACAGATGACATTAAATACTGAGAAAAAGACCATAGTAAAAAGAAAAGCCAAATATTCTAATGATACAACTGAAAAGAAAGGAAGTCTAGTATTGTCGTGCTAAATATTTTCGTTCTACTACTCACGAAATCTTATGATTTGCGTGTCGAATATTTTGTTCAGGAATTACATTGCTTTTTACATTTCCCTGGCCCCCTCTTAGGTTTATAATTATGTAACATGAGGAGTTAATTCAGCATATGCTAGCATTGTCTTGTTAATTAAGGAAATATTGTGGATGGCGTTCACGCTATCTATCCCAGACGTAGGAAAGCCAGTGAGCGAAGGGAATGGACTCGCTCTTCCTTGTCCTCTTCCCTTGCCAATTGCTTCGGCAAGGGAGGAAGAGGGGAAGAGGAGATGGGACAGGAGCTCGCTTTCATTGTCTCATCTCATCAATTCGTCTCTTCATACCATTCCCTCATCAACTTGCAGTAGATTAAAGGGAACAGGATGACGAAGTCAAGGGCTTTTTAACTCTTTCACCCACCAACATCTTGTCTACATGTCACTGCGGGCTAACCGTCCGCTTCCCTCTCTCCACCACCTGTCAGCTCGTGGAATCGCATGCTAGGTAAATGAACGGAGAGAAAGAGTGGATATGCGAGAGAAAGCGAGGGGGACAGCGAGACGGGAGAGAGTGGGATTAGGAATGGACCATTGCCCACTCTCATCTCTCCATCACACACCATCCCTTTCTCTTCATACTCTTTCCCTTCCTTCTTTTACCCACAGACGACCAGGGTAGGGATAGAAGAAGGGAATGGGATGTCATGGGATTCCCTCTCTACTTGTCTCGCCTCCTAATCATGGATGAGGCGAAGTAGTTGGTCAGGGATGGGACCCCCGGGAGCTATGCCATAAGGCGGGGCAATAATTCCTTTACTACTATTCATTTCTTTATCTCCTACCTGTCACCCCCTTCACCCTCCATTCTCACTTCCTAGCAACCGAAAGTGACGGGTGAAGGGATAAAAAGATGAGGCAGAGATAAGATAAGTGCGTGAGAAAAATCATGCTTCTTGGATGGGTTCTTCCTTGGCAGTCAATGGTCAATATTTATTGGGTGTAGACGGTTATCTGCAAAACCCTGAGTTGTATTAACTGTGGAAGGAAGAGTAGGGAAAGAAGAAGGGAATGGTCGGTTACGGTTTCGGCTCTAGAGGGAAGCCATTTGCTGTGTGACTCGATCACTGCACTCGAGCCGCGGACGCGAGCGCTCAACCCGAATAGTCAGAGACCCCCCTCGGGTTTAAAAGTGGGTGCGTGTGTGCGAGAGCAAGAGAGAAACATGGAGTGATTGATTAGAATTCTTGAAATTCCGAGAATTAACTCTATCAATTATTGCACGTGTGTTGCTTTGAAACATGGGGAGCGTGTCCTGGAGGTTAGAGCACGATCCGTGCGAGCAGGGGGGCAAGGAATCGGTGTGTCTGTTCGGAATTCTTAAAACTCCTGGAAATAATTCCAATAATTCTAAGAATTCCAATTGGAAGTAATGGAATTAATATGATATCGAATAATTCAATTAATTCTGGGAATTCTAAGAATTCCAATTCGAATTGTTCCAATTCTTAGAATTCATTCTAGGAATTCTAATAATTCCAATTGGAATTACTCTAATTATTTCTAAAAAATGGAATAATCCCAAATGGAATTATTAGAATTAATAGAAATAATAATTCTAGGAATTGGAAAAATTCCAATTGGAATTAATAAGATTCTTAGACTTAATTCTAGGATTCTAAGAATTCCAAAAATCCAGAAACAGAATTCTAGGAAATTGAATATGTCCGATAGGAATTCTTAGAAGTATTGGAAAATCCTTGCCTGGCCAGCATTCCCTGGCAATTCTGTTTCTGGAACTTTTGGAATTTTTAGCATCCTAGAATGAATTCTAAGAATTATTATAATTCCAATTGAATTATTCCAATTATTAGCATGAATTCTATTACTTCCAACAATTCCAATTGGAATTATTCCAATTCCTAGAATTAATTCTACGAATTCCAATAATTCCAATTGGAATTATTCCAATTCTTACAATTAATTCTAAGAATTCGAAATGGAATTATTGGACTTCATCACAACTAATTGTTTCTAAGAATTCCAAAAATTCCAAAAACAGAATTGCCCGGGAATGCTGGCCAGGCAAGAATTCCAAGAATTCTAGAATTCCTTATTCGAATAATTCTAATTGGAATTTTCCATTTCCTAGAATCAAGTTCTAACAATTCTAATAATTCCAATTGGAATTATTCAGTGTAAGAATTAATTCTGAGAATTCTAATAATTTCAATTGGAATAAATGGAATTCTTAGAATAATTCTAGGAATTGGAATCATTCCAATTGGAATTATTGGAATTCTTAGAATTAATTCTAGGAATTGGAATAATTCCAATTGGAATTCATAGAATTCTTAGATGTAATTCTAGGATTCTAAGAATTCCAAAAATTCCAGAAACAGAATTGCCAGGGAATGCTGGCCAGGCAAGGATTCCAAGAATTCTATAATTCCTTATTCGAATAATTCCAAATGGAATTATTCAAATTCCTAGAATTAATTCTAACAATTCTAATAAGTCCAATTGGAACTGTTCGAAGTGTAAGAAATATTGGAAATATTGGAATTCTTAGATTTAATTGTAGGAATTGGAATAATTCCAGTTGGAATTATTGGAATTCTTAAGATTAATTTTAAGAATTGGAATAATTCCAATTGGAATTATGAGAATTGATAGAATTAATTCTAGGAATTGGAATAATTCCAATTTGAATTAATAGAATTCCTAGAATTAAGTCTAGAATTCAAAAAAATCCCAAAAATCCAGAAACAGAATTGCCAGGGAATTCTGGCCAGGCAAGAATTCCTATCGAAAATATTCAAATTCCTAGAAATAATTCTAAGAATTATAATATTTCCAATTGGAATTATTCCAATTCCTAGAATTAATTCTAAGAATTCTAATAGTTCCAATTGGAACTATTCCAATTCCTAGAATGAATTCTAAGAATTCTAATATTTCCAATTGGAATTATTCGAATTCTTAGAATTAATTCTAATAATTGGAATAATTCCAATTGGACATATTAGAATTCTTAGAATTGATTCTAGGAATTGGAATAATTCCAATTGGAATGATTAGAGTTCTTAGAATTGTTTCTAGGATTCTAAGAATTCCAAAAAAATCCAGAAACAGAATTGCCAGGGAATGCTGGCCAGGCAAGAATTGCAAGAATTCTGATAATTCCTTATTCTAATAATTCCTATTGGAATTACTCCAATTTATAGAAAAATCTGCGAATTCTAAAAATTCCTTGGAGTAATTCCAATTCCTAGAATTAATTCTGTAAATTCTAATGGTTCCAAATGGAACTATTAGAATTAATTTTAAAAAGTGGAATAATTCCAGCTGGAATTACTAGCATTCTTAGAATTAATTCTAGGATTCTAAGAATTCCAAAACATCCAGGAATTCTAAGGGTTTGTCTCTGGAATTCCTGGAGCTCCTGGAATTCTTGGCTTGCCAGCCAGCAGGGACAAATATTACCTAGAGGTCTCTCACACATATATACATATATTTAATATATATATATATACACAAACATATATATATATAACGCGAGGGCCCGCAAAGGTGCCTAATTACACGGGTCGCCTACTGGGTCCTTGGGAACTGTTCAACCAAGTTGGGGCCAAGTCTCGGTGGGGAGATTGAATTGCATGGTCAGCCCGGCCAACGGACTGATGGCCTTGCTCAGCGATTCCACACCTGGCAAAAGGAGCGAGCTCGTCTTGCCATGACTCTTCTTGGCGTTTTCTGGGGAAACAGCTACACACAACCGTTCCCAAAAAACACCCAACCCGAAATTTCAATCCAGACTGTGGTACACATTTAGGCAGTTCCAAAAAAACACAGCATGCCAGCTATTTCGAAGGGCACCTACCGCTTCTTGTTCAACGCGTATAGAGATCCAGGTCATCATCAACCCGATTCAGGACCCCCAGCCCCCCCGTCTGGCTTTTCCGCCTGAGAGGATGGTGGAGAACCGGTCCCCAAGGTCCTGCAAGAATGTACTCAGGGACAAGCTGAACTGAGGTTGAACGTAGCCCCAAGAACCCAGACATCCCAACCTTTCCGATAGCAATATGACAAAGCCAATTGCACCTCTGAGAAGAAAAAAACGGTGGACATCCCGGGTTTCAAGTGGAAAGTCAAGTTCAAGTGGGCACCTTCACTTCTGAAGATGAGGCTCTTCGCAGGTTCACTTCCCTGCTGAGTGCTCAAGCAGGGTGCCGGATTCCTAGGGTTGTTTTGGGAGGCAGATGTCACTGGATTTCCCAACTCAAAGTGGTTGTTCCCATTGACCCATTGAAACTGCCCCCCACTTTTGGAAGCTCCAATGGAGGAAACCCTGCTGGTAAAGATCGCTGGGCAGTTGGTCTTTGGGCATTCTGCAATGGCTCATCCGTTCGCTTGGCCTCCGACCAAATTCTACAAGTCTCTCCTCTGGGATGACAAATGTCCACAAGGTATTTCCTCCCTCCCCTGCTAGGCTAGCCTGCTGGAAATTTGTCCAAGAGAGACTTGAAAGTGGAACCGTTTGATCCCAATGGAGTCTGGCATGAAGTTGCTCCCCCGAGGATTGAACTTGAGCAAGCGCTCTGCCAAATCCAAAGTGAAGTCCAAAACCTGCGCGAAGAAATCTCAAAAAACATGCAAAACAATGGCGGCAAGCTCACCATAGGCACCAGCCACAACCGCCTGGTTGCTTCCTGAAACATAGGAACGTGCAAAAGGCAATCGTCCTTTGAAGCAAAGGGCTCGCCAAGTGCACCTTTTTGTGGCCAAAGAAGTTGTTGGTCCAACCGCTATGGCTATCTCTCAAAAGGAAGAACCCGTCTTGCGCAGTTTCAAGGCAAGTGGCCAAGGAATCAAGGCACCACAGGCCTCATCTGGCACGCGCTATGGAATTGGCATGGTGTGTTGTCTATCAAAATGCTGATCGGACATTCGAACTGATAATTTCTTCCAATCATGCACCAAGTGTGTGCGTGTTGAATATCATCAAATGGGAAATGCGAACTGATCATTTCCTGGAATCATCCACCAAGTTTGTGTGTGTGTGTGTGTATTTTTGTGTGTGTGTGTGCGCTGCTTGTCACCAAAATGCAGATCGGAAATTCGATGGCATCCTTTTGGAATCACATCACTTTCGACATCGCCTTGTACACGCCGATTGTGGCGACGAAGGCACCCAAGGAGGTGGTGCCCCGCAGCACCAGCATGGGGGAAATACCTCTCAGGTCGGTCACTGGAAACGATGCCGCCATGCGCGACGCAAGCACATGAAACATATCGCTCTCCTTTGTTGAGTTGATTCCCCTTTTTCGTGGTTTAAGGGGAAAACAACGGGAAAACCCGCCATTTTGGGGCATGAACACGCGGGCCAGGTCTTGCGAATGAGCCAGATTTCTTCTGGGTGAGCCGACGTCCTTCAGCCCGTGGCGCAAATGGGCGCCTTGTTTTTTTCTCGAAATCATGGGCGCGGCCATGTGGCCTACGGTCACCTAACCGCCACTCCGGGTTGCAGTGGGACCTTCATCTCAGGGTGCCTTTGATCTCTTGGATCATGGTCTTGGGTCAGGATGGCTCCTATAGTAAATGGAATCGCCTTGGTTCTTCCAGGAAACGGCAAGGCACAGCAACAGTATTCAACGTGGGAACTGGAGGGCAAGTCTGGTGCCATGGTACAATAGAATTCAGGTCCCGAAGCTGGGTGTCTATTGCGCCACCCAAAACGCGTTGACACCATCTTGCATGCAGAAAAGATCGGCAACGCTCACAGAGACAGATTTTTGCCCAAATAGATTGAGGCTTCAGGTCCAAGCGAGGGGCCTCTCATGGGGAAACATGAAGCATCATCCATGCAATCCATAGAATCATCCATAGAATCATCTCTACAAATCGAATGGAACGGGGCCCAACTCCCCCCCTCGAGCCTATGTAGGTGCCGATCGCCAGGAGCGTGATCCACGGGATCAGCTGGCCGTTCCAGAAGTCGAAGGACTTCCTCAGACCGAGTTGAGACGGAGCTGATCACGCGTCTTCGCTCAGGATCGAAGTTTCGATGTACCAATTCTGCCGAGAAGAAAACTCGGCGCCATGTATTGCAGGCCTGGCTGAAAAGCATCATGCAACACACAAAGAAGTTCGGAGACCTGTGGAAGTCGAATCACTGGCAGGGGGGCGTCTTCTGGCACCGCGAGTGAAACTGGATGGACAGACGTGACTTGATGACCCATGGCCTATATGGCCTGCCTCGCACTGCCAAGGAGCAAGTCCATGGTCAACTTGCGCTGCTGTCGCAAAACATCCTCAAAGCGTCCTCAGTTTCAAAGTTGCGCGGCTGAGGGCCAAGCACGGCTGGAGAACAGGGTCTTTGCTGAAATACGGGACCTCCTAAAAAAAAGAGAGGTGCCCTCCCACCAATGAACGCGCGGTCTCGTGTTTCAGAAAGAAAGGTCCAAACCAGGATCCCCCGAACGTCAGGTTCCATCTTAATTGGTTGGAGGGTACATGCCTTTCAGGGATACTCTTGGGTGTTAAACATGTTCCACGGGGTGGCACCATGTGGCGTTCCGTGAACCGTGAACCTGCGGCTCATTGGGCTTTAGGCAAGCAACTCGCAAATCACCTCATACCAGACCAACGCAAGAAGGCGATACGGAACCCAACCAAACAACACAAGAAAAACAACTATGTGTCGTGTGGACAAAGGTTTGGCGTATCCTTGTCAAATCAGAACCTTCTTGTTGGTTTCCAACAGAAAAGCGCCTGCCAAGATCAACGTGAGGCCAAGGACATCCATCCCTTAGGATCCTTATCTGCTCCCACATCACAACCCTTGAAATACGCGCCCACTCCAATCAACAAACTGCCATGATGTTTGCAGGGTGCAAATCTCTATCATTGACGGAGATAATCCTGAAGGTAACAAACAATCCTGAGGGAGATATCGTAAGTTGTCTTTCTGAGAATGCTTCCCTTGGCATCTCATAGACAAATATCGACATCAACCTGGCTCCCTTCCCTATCCGCTTCCGAGCCTATCAATCATCAAGAGTGGATAGGTGCGGAAGGGAAACGAAGACATAAAACATGTAATCATAACGCTGGTAAACGATATGACAGGTGAGAAAGATATAATTGATGAATAATTGAAATATGTCATCTTATGTTATATCTTACTTGTCTACATCGCATCTCTTTCCCTTCTCTCATCTCTCTTCAAATCGAAAGGTGAATGGAACAGATTGAGACGTGGAACGCACTGGGCTTCTTTTTTTCTCATTCCCTACCCTTTCTCCGCTCGGCGGCGGGTGGGTGGTCACATGACATTGACTCCTTTCCACCGCTCTCGCTGCATTGTATGCGTGGCCTGGAACCCTGACGAAGACAACGGTCCTCGCTCGAAGGGACTTTCTTTCAAATTCTGCAGCTCAGTTGACTTGGCACCCCTCACTGCTTCAGCCACCTGTGGAGCCCAAACGGTGCTTCGAGGGAACAGCTATTTGCTGGGGGGTTCTACTTCGGGAATCATACATGCCCAGCAGCGCACGACGTAGGCTTCCTTGTCGAAGCAAGCAATGAGACGCCGCGCCTAAGAGCCATTGGGGAGGGGGGGGAGGTTGCCAGAACGCTCACCGACCACGTGAAATTTGACACGCTCTCTGGTTTCATGCTGGCCCAAGGGTCCAAAGATGGGCGCCCGAACTCCTTTTGACAACTCGTGTCGAGACAAATGATTGGGGATCTCGAATGAGCGCCGATCTAATTGGCAACTGGTTCATTCCTCTTTCGCAAAGTCAGCTTCAGCAAATGCTGCTGCCAGCTGCAGATAGACAAAGCGACAAAGCCGAAATGAGGTTCTGACATTGTGCACATGCATCAGACTTCCGATGGTGTCGCTCTGACCTTCACCCTCCTGTCACGAATTCGAATGGCATTTCCGGACATCGAGTGGCAGCCGTGACATAGTGTGTCAACAATGGGGTCTAGCAGCATGGTTTCAAGGTTGATGCTTTCGACCATGGTTGCGGAACCAACGAACAGTTTTCTTGGAAGATATAGTGGGACCCTGAAATCAGCGGTCAAACTGGTTCCAGGTGGATCTTGTGTTTATCTTTAGGTCCAGACGGAGCATGGGTTTTGTCTATCATGTATGCTAGTGTTATGCTGAAACATTTCATTTTGAGTGACAATCCAGTGCCTTTTGATGGCGGTGGACGGCAAGCAACATGAAACAATCGGAAGGCTCCCCAGTTTGACTCACCTTTGTGTATCCATGCGACATAGATCAAGGGGCTTGGCTGCAGGAATGCCGGAAATGGCCCCAAAACACTCAAAAGAAGATGTTTTTTCGGTATTTTCCTGTCACCCAACCCTTTGAAATAGAGTCACACTTCACGCTTTCTGTTGGCACAGAAGGCAAGGGTCTTGTAGCCCGAAAAGGCAAAACATGTGAAACATCCCAGAAACGCCATCCACCCGAGCTCAAGCCCAAGCTCCTGTTTGTAACCGAAACAAACAGAGTCAGGCCGCATGCGCTCCCGAAACCGACAGCTTGGTCCATATCAGTTGCTAGATCCTCCAGTAGAGAGGTTAGAATCAGGGTACCCTTTTTCTGTAGTCTATTTCAGTAGGGGAACCCTCCCCCAAAAACGGGAGACAGGGCACTACTGGGGGACCCAGGTTGGGAAGGAATCAAACCGGGGCATCGCTGCCGATCAAGGCATGCGTTGTGGGCTCCTGGGGTATGGTTGTCCACACATACTTTTCACGTTTTTACCTGTACTTTCCGCTTGTACACGTACCTTCCACGGTTTGTCCATGGTTTTTGTCCACGCCTCATTTTCTTCCAACATCGATTAAACCATCAACAAAACAACACGCGATGAGACTCTGTGGAGCTGCGGACAAGAAGTGGAAAAGCTGGCACACACGGGCATGTGAGGGACAAGCCAAATTGACGCAGCATGATTTCGGTGTGAAAACAACGGGATGAAGCGACTTTGTTCAAAAAAAACACGTTTTTCATAAAAGCAGGAATAAAGGTCTTGAACCTCTCACTGCGCAAAAGCGTGCCGGGATGCCAGGAGCAAGCCGTCTCAAGTTGGCCAAGCTTCTCTAGCCCTACTTTTGATGGTCGAGGGACACTGCTTTTATAGCCTTTTGTTTCTAAATGGTCGAGGCTATTTAAAGAATAGTCGAGGAAGCATAGGGAAGACATTCTGCGAATGTTTCTGTAAATTATTGGACAAGAAGTCTATGGAAGGATCTTCGCAGGATCTGCGGATCCTTCGCAAAACATGTTGGGTGGATCTCTACGCAGGACCAGCGCAGGGAATCGGCGGAGGACCTTTGCAGGATCTCTGCACAAGATATCTGGGTAAGATCTCTTCAGAGGATACCCTCTGCAAGGGTTCTGTTTAAGATCTGTCGGGGGGGCATCCTCTACAAGATCTCTCGCAAGGATATCTTTGCAGGCCCCGCGCAAGAACTCGACCGTCTGAATTTGCGGGAGGATCTTTAGAGGATCTCCGCGCAAGATCTCTTGAAGGATCTCTTGGCAAGATCCGTGCACGCAATCCTGAGAGGGTCCCTCTCTGCGAAGGACCAGCGCAACAATATCTATGGGAGTATGTGTACAGGTTCTTTGCAGGATCGCTGCTCAAGATGTCTGGGATGGGTTTCTTGGCAAGATGTGTGTACAGAATCCATGCTTCAAGATCTGTAGGCAGCACCCTCTACAAAATCACTTGGAGGGACATCTTTCCAGGTCCGAGCAAGATCTCTTCAAAGGATCCCCATGGAAGGACCAGCGCAAGGCATCTTTGGGATGGATCTTTACAGGTGCGTATCCATGACAGGGAAGTTCTCCGTCAGGATCTACAAGACCTCTTCCAAGAGTATCTTTGCAGGTTTGCTTCGATGCTGGGGGAAAAATGCGCCACACCAGATCACAGGCAATTACCACGAAAAACACACTGCCCCAAATCCCAGCCAGTCGAAATGCACGAAAAATGCAGCTCCCCAGGTCCCAGCACTTTTGCGCGAGCCTGCGAGTCGAAATGCATGTTCAGATTCTACAAAGCCACTTTTTTAATAGGAATTTCCGCACAAAATGGTTCAAACACCCTGATCTCAGCCCGGGCCTTTTACTCTTCCCGAAAGAACCCCTCTGGAAAGGAAACCCTCGCAAAGCCACTTGATAAACCCGAAGTCCTTGGCCATCAAGTCCAGCCGTCGCCTGCGGAAAAACCGACCCATCTGGGTGGCTCGGTTCCATTTTTTTTGGAGTTGGTTGCCTGCTTGTGGTTTTGTTTGCTGGTGCGAGGCTCAGGGTGCCCGGCCCAGGGTGCCCGAGAAATGGAATGACTTCGAGGAAAACCCTCGCCGAGCTGGTTTCCTGCAAGGATTGCGGAAGCCCCAAGTTCATTTCCTGATTGCTGAGCACCAGCAAGTTAAGTTTAAGGGGAAACCCCCCCCAAAAAAAGAAATCAATGTTGGGGGTCATAATAAACAAGCCGTGGCGGCGGGGGTTGGAGGGGGGGGGGGCAGCACGTCCTAAGCTCGCAGTGTGTACCTGAATGCTGAAGATGCCCAAAGCAACACAAGTTCGCCAAAAGAAAAGACACAAAAGCCCAAAAGCCAGCCCGGAGGAAAGAAGTTCGAGGCGGCCAGCGCTGCCGACCGACCGACTGATGCCACGATCCAGGCAACTGGATCAACACAAAGATGTAGCAAATCATTGTCAAAGGCACCCCAACAAACAAACACGCACCAAGAAGTGCTTGGCTGGAAAGTCGAGGAATCCTCCGTGTTGGGGAAACTAAAAACAGTCGATTTGGCATCCAGTAGCCCACCCCATTTGCTTCGGACTCGGCAACCGTTTTCAAACTCGGTGCGCTCAAAGCAGGCAGGGTTGACTTTTGGCCGTCCCCGAAACTTCTTTGCGCAACCGAAGGACCTTCTGCTATGAGGGGATTCTACGCCAGGGAAAATCCCTTCATCCCTCAAGGGGTGCAACCTGTGCCTGTAGGTGCGTATCAAGTACACCACAATCAGCGCAGGATAGATCACCAACGGAATTGCACCTTGCAGCGTGCTCGGTGCCTTCCTCATGGGAAAGACAAGCTCAAACTTGAAGAAGTCTCCAGACTTCCAAGAGAAAGCCTTGTAAGCTTCGGTTTTGTTCGGAGAAAGCTGGAATCCGCGAGCTTTCTGTGTTGGGGCACTGCGGCACGCACACACAGGGACAGACAGACACATAAACAAACAAAAACAAACACCCATGCTGCTTAAACTGACACAAACTCTATCAGACTCTTTCATTGATGCACAAATAGATTTAACACATTCATTCATTAAACAAATAATTCACTCATTCAGATAGTCATTCACTCACTCATAACATTTCATGTCATTTCAGTTCATTTCATTTCATGTCATGTCATGTCAATTCATGTCATTTCATTTCATTTCATTCATGTCATGCTGACTCATGTCATTCCATGTCATCGCGTGTCATTAATCTTCATTGTTTCATCGTCATTCATTCATTGATGCATTGATTCA